CATAAATTGCATACTATCAATATATTTCATTTGCCCTACTTTCATAGATTTATATCGCTCAAATGTTTCTGCAATAACTGTAATCTGGTGTGCGTTGACAGATCGACCGACTGATTTACAGACTAGATGAGAGTCATAGCCTCTGAAATTATGGAATACTATTGGAACTGGTGGTTTCCATGGTTGAATTTGAAGTTGAAGATTACAATCTCTATGTGCTGATCTTCGATATTTGCCTGTGATATGATTGTGATCCCAGACCTTATCACCATCTAATGGCTTCTTGCAAATTCAGCATTCTGTTGATTCATCAAACTTTTGCTTTGCTATTAAATAATCTGTATTAATTTTATCATCAATTTCAAAGATTATATCATCTCTAATATCGTTATTGATTTCTAAAACTTCATTAATTCAAACTAATTCTTTATCCATTTTTCGAACAAATTCTTGTGTGGCATTTAGTCCTCGATATGTAAAAGGTCCCCAAACCTCTCCAGTATTAATCCAATGAACTGAGTAACAAAAGCTACTAGGTACCTGCTCATCAAGTTTGTGCATGCTTCCACCATATGATTCGTCACATTTTTTATTTTTCGATTCAAAATCTGCATATATTATACAAGGGGAAAATATCATCCTTGCATAGTGCTTGAATTTTTCGATATCATTTATATCCTTAGTGGGCATGTCTATTTTTTGTGAAGCTTCCCCTAATCTATAGCAATGATCTCGATGATATGATAATGTCTTTTCTGATGTAAAACTTTAAAAGCATTGATTGCAAAGATGTTTTTTATCATTATGCTTAGAATCTTTGCGTACTAACCCATTTGGATTTTTGATCTATAGAAAATGATTTCTTTGTCCATACTTACCTGTATTTTCAGTTTTGTTAATATCGGTAAGTACCATAAGGTGAATAACATGTGGTCTTTTTGTCATGCATTCGTTTGATCTTGGATATTCACAATTCACAACTTGACATGAGTTAGGTATAAAGAAATTCTTACTAGTAATTACAGGTTTAGGTGTAGCAGTTTCCTCTTTCTATTCCCATACATTAATCGAAATTTCTGGATTTTGAGTTTCGATCTTTTGAAATGTTCGATGGTCGATAAGAGTTGGTATTGGAATACCATCCAAATTAACTATATTCAGATATGGTAATAAATAAGAAAGACATTGTAAATTTTTGGTCACACCTCCAATGCTTGCAAAGTATACACCTAAAGCATATTGTAAACACTTGTCATCTCCTAATTTAGAGTTATCAGGATTAATTGTACATTTGATATTGGCAAGTCTTTTGGGTGTTGGTTTGTAAGATCCTCCAACAGCTCTTTTATATGCATAAATATTAATATATATCATTTCTATTTGAACTAATGTCAATCCAGATCCATTGCTTAAAAATTCTTCGATTTTTGTGTCTATTTCTCCAGCTGATAATTTTATATACTCATCTATATCTTGTTCTGAAAGAATAGCTCGCATCCTTCCTGAATGATATTTTTGAATATAAAATGGAATCTCTACTTTATAATCCCCTTTATCTTTCTTTTCCATTTTCATATAATTATAATATACTACTATTGATGATTTTACCTGGTCTTTTCTTCAGAGTTCAGCTTTAAGTACATTTGTAATTTGTTCTCGAGCTGAAACCATAAGGTGCAGCATGTATGGAGCTTCTGCATATTTTTTGAGATCATCTATAGGTACATTAAATTCACATGCTAGGTTTTCATATGATGGGACAATTGCTTGCTATTTGGTTAATGAAGATAAACTTGGGTGTGATCTATTTGAATCTCCAACTTCAGCTTCCTCAAAGATAATATCTCCTGATGGTATTAGATATTGAGTGGTAAATCCATCTGTACATTTTTCTGAAACAAATTTTTTACTCTTTGCCTTGTCAGTTAAAAGAGTACCTCCCAATTCAGGCCAGATTTCTTCGTTTTCTGGTTCTATTAAACCCAATGCAATAAGATAATTGATTTCCTCCTGAGTGATATTTGGTTCGTTATCAGAAGGAATATTGTTTTGTAATATCTCTTCTCTATTGGTTTGGGTTGATGGACCTGGGCCAGCTTCCGAATCGATTTGTAGAACTGGATCAGATATCTTGGGAGATCGAACTACTTTGGGTGCATGTGTTCTAAAAGTAGCTGGAATAGGTGTTGGATTTATAACAGGAATAACATGAGGTCGACATGGAAATTTTCTATTCTGAAGATGGCAAGTAAGCATCCATAATTTTTTGAATGTTTTATTATATCTATTACATGTATGAACCATTTTTGTATATAGTATATAGTTACAGAAATATAATATATTACTTATATAAAATCTTTTGTTTAATTAATTATTTCGATATATCAAAATGGTACTATGTGACTTGGTACTATAGTAGATTACATGAGCGGGTGTACGAGATCTTTGAAAAGGTTTTTCAGGATAATTTGAATCTAAATCGTTTTTACTATATATTTTTAAATCGTTAAAGTATTTCGCTACATAATAATTTTTATAATCTTCTTCCATTTTTAAATTTGATGGGGGGCTTCTTGGCTGTCTAACCGGTTCAATGGTTTGCGGAACCGGTGCCTGTGTTTTTTGTGCTTTGGAGGATTGAACTTCCTTTCTTAATTTTTCTATCTCAGCATCATAATTAGATTTTTGTTTCGTTAATACCTCATCAATCATTTTTTATGTATCGGGTATAGGAAATACTGATTGCAGAATTATAGGAGCTTCTATTATTTTGGTGTTATAGGAAGATTGTTAAGAAACTTGACCATTCAAATTTGGTACGCGCTCCAGTCACATATTTTTTAATTCAGTGAAAAATGCATTAATTCCAAGAGGATTAGCGATTTTCATCCATGTATAAAGCTCACCTGGTAATTGATTTTTAAGAAAACCTAAAACTTGTTTATCATTGTCCGTTACTCCTATTATTAGTAGTCGAATTCTAGCTTCATAAGTATCAGGAGTATCATAAGGCTAATATCTTTCTTGAGTCAATCTTTGAATTGCAGATTGTTGGCTACCTATTGTTTCTCTTAGATATTTGACATCATCAGGAAATTTTTTCTAGTGAAAACCTTCGAAAGTTAACGTTAACGTAAGTATTTCGCTATTTTTCGATATGT